ATCTTGGAATATCTAACAACTCAGCTATATTCCATACTTAGAGTTTGTTTATTATGACACATTATCTTGCATTTCACATTGAATTGAGAACACCAAAAGACCCTGACTTTAAACTGTATTACTAAAAGCACCACCAGGAGGGGCACAGGTTTAAAGACATGGTGAGTGACCTGGGGCTACATATTGGGATCCAAAAGGTCCTGCTATAGCCTGGACCATGCCCTCACTCTTGACTACTAACTTATGACTCTATAACTTATTTGCTCTGAGCTCACCCCACTTGGAATTTGAAACCAAATAGAGTCAAAAGTTCAAAAGGGGGTTACTCCAGCAAAATTGGCACTGTGTTTTCCTTTCAAAAGTCTGAGATAAGGATGACTTAGCAAAAACATTCTGGTGAAAGAAAACTTTTTTTTTTTTTTTTTTGGTCACCAGGAGTTATTGATTTATAGTTCATTTACTGATTCAGATCAGAAAGCTAACATCACTCAAAGAAGACAATTTCAAACAGAGATGAAGCCTGATTTCAAAAATATAGATAGTAATATAATGTAGAAACCTCTTTGCTAAGATGTGGGCAGAACTAGTCTGGGTTAGAGCTCAGTGGTAGAGCACTTGCCTAACATGCATGAGACCCTGGATTTGATCCCTAGCACAGGAAAAAAAGTGAAGGGAAACTGTCTTGAAGTTTCCATGAACTGTGAAGTCTTCAAACCTTAAATACAACTGGGTTGACACTTAAAAAAAAAATCAAAATCCATGCTTCTTAATTGGCCAATGAGAGTTCCTTAAGGCTATGATTAACCTTGGGCTGAGGACTTAACACCCTCCTGAGAGCCAGTGAGCAGAACCTGATTCCTCCTGTAGTTAGGAAGGGGCCCTAAGTGTCAGGGCCCTCCTTAAGGAGGTTCACAGACCTGCCCACCTAGTCTCATCAAGTGTTTGGCCTTTGTGCCACACAACTCCTGTTTTTGTTCTGGTGAAATCAAGAGCAGGCCTAAAAGTGCCAAGAAGTTACCTAAGGCGTTTTAGGGAGGATGCAAAGAGGAGGGAGGTGGCCCATGTCTCACCTGGGCAATACTGGAAGGCTTGTGTAGTTAACGGTTGTAATAAGGGTCCCAGAGAAAGTTGAGCACATCCTAGGACATTCAGATGTGTGTGTGTGGTTGGCGGGGTGGCGGGGGAATGGGGTTGCTGGGGCTCAGGACATGTCACTACAAAATATTTCTCTCAGGCAGATTGATTCTTAGCTGGTTATTTTAAGAAACTGCAGGCAAAGGAGTTGTTCTGAAAAGCTGACATTTAAAAAAAAAAAATTCACATCTATAAAGGACATTTTCATTAGTACTGGTACCTATGCCAGGAGAAAGCTGCTTTGGACCATTGTCTCCCGACAGCCTTTGATCGGCTTAACAAGCACCATGAACTCACCACACATTTCTTCTCTCCCTTCTCCCACAACCGAGAAGCCTCGGCTCCTCCTTCCCAGAGTTCAGAATGCTGTGTAGGCTTCAGTCATCTGGCTCTTCTTTAGTCTCATATTTTTACGGGATTTCCATGTGTGAGCATGTAATTAAATGGGGTTTCTCATGCTCACATGCCAACTTGATTTGTAGCTGAGTCCAGGAACTCAGGAGGATGGAAGGAAGCCATTTTCTCCTCCCCTCTGAGGCGATGGGAAGGAAGCTGGGCAGGGGCTGAAGGGCCTCAAAGGAGGGCAGACAGCTGATGGGAGACACCATTGTTGACCCCAGACCTAAAGCATCAAGGGACAAAGACCATCTTTGTTTCCCAGGCAAGGTACATTTACTTTGTCCTGTCTAAACAGACTTTTCACTATTACCTCCCAACAATCCAGAAGCATCAAGTACTTCTTATGTATTTATCTGGGGACAGGAGACTGAACCCAGGGCCTCATGTGTCCTAGGCATGGACTGTACCCTGAGCTCCACCCCAGCTGTTTTGTCCTTATGACCGTAGTCCTGTCCCAAAGCAGCCCCCCTCTATGACTCCCACCCCTCTGACCTATAGACAGTTAGGTGACAGTGCCAAAGTTTATTAAAACACTCTTAGCTCTGCTCCAGTGGACATTTTTTCAGCTGCCACCTGGCCCTACTGCTGGTGGTGGGAACTTGTTCCAGGACTAGGTCCTTCCTCTGGCTAGCATCGATACTGGCTCAGATTCAAATTTCAAAATGGAAACAAAACAAAGCCCAAACTATCAGTTTCTCTATACTCACTCAGCACGGACACCAAGTGGGGGTTTACTCCCACACCAACCCACTCTCCACACCATCTGGGTGTCCTGCAACTCGATTCTGATGCACTCTACCTGGAGTCAGACCCCACAAGCTAAAGAACCAGTCCCACAAGGCCAACCCGACTCCAGATGCCAATCACAAATCCAGGCCTCTGGTACTTTTCACTTGTCTGCAAATTTGGGGTTCCATGATCCCTTCCCCATGTTTGACAAGTTTCTTGAATGACTCACAAAACTCAGGGAGATACTTACACTTACCAATTTATTATAAAAGGATATGACTCAGGAACAATCAGACGGAAGCAATGCACAGGGCAAAGAATGGGGAATGGAACCCATCTTCTGATAAAGTTCCTTTTACTTTTGTAGTTTATTTTTTAAAGACATTTTTTTTTTTAGTTGTCAATGGACCTTTATTTTGCTTATTTATATATGGTGCTGAGGATCGAACCTGGTACCTCACACATGCTAGGCAAGTGCTCTACCATGGAGCTACAAGCCCAGCCCCTACTTTGAGAGTTTCTAAATTTTGATTGATCAGTATCACTAACTTGCCACAGAATTCCCAAGCCCCTATTTCTTTCAGTAACTCAAAATGCCATTTAAGCCTCAACCATCTGGCCTTTCTCAGAGGTTATACTCTGTATATGACTCCCGCGCTTGATTTTCTTCCTTCGCAGGTAGATACCTTTGCCTTTGTCTGTGCTTAACTTCAGTTCATTTCCGTGAACTTTCACTTTATTTATTTATTTATTTTGAGAGAGAGAGAGAGAGAGAATTTTTTTAATATTTATTTTTTTAGTTTTCGGCAGACACAACATCTTTCTTTGTATGTCGTGCTGAGGATTGAACCTGGGCCACACGCATGCCAGGCGAGCGCGCTACCGCTTGAGCCACATCCCCAGCCCTTCAGTGAACTTTCAGAGGGCAGATGGGACCTTTCCTTCACCCCTTCAATTGCTGGAACTTTTCCAGGTTTTGTTTGTGGTACTAGAGATAAAACCCAGGGCTTTGCATGTGCTAGGCCAGTGCTCCACCACTAAGTTACAGCCCACTGCTCTTTTCTAGTTCCTTAAGGGAAAAACGAAGCCCATTGATTTGAGATCTTCCATTGATTTGAGATCTTTTCTTTTCCAATATGAACATTTATTGCTAAAAACTTTTCCCTAAAGACTGTTTTGGTGTCATCCCATAAATTCTATGTCCTGTTTTCATTTTCATTTAGTCAAAAATAATTTCTAGTTTTCCTTTTGATTTCTTCTTTTGATTGATAGGTCATTTAGAAGTGTGTTGTTTAGTTTCCAAATAGTAGGGTTTTCCAAATACCTTCCTGTTACTGATATCTAATTTAATTCCATTGTAATTAGATAACATATTTGATATGACTTAGATCCATTTGAATTTACTGGACTTGTTTTATGATGTAAAACATGGTTTATCTTGTTAAACATTCTCTGAGAGTCTACAAAGGTCAATTAAGTCAAATTGGCTGATATTGTTCAAGTCTACCATATCCTTGTTGATCTTCCTTCCACTTGCTCTATGAATTATTGAGAGTGAGATTTGAAATCTCTGATAACTTTGTGAATTTATTTGTTTCTCTCTGCAGTTCTATCATTCCTTGCTGCATACATTTGTTTTAACATCAGGCACAAAAATGTTAAGGACTATTATGTCCTCTAGATTAGCTGTCCCTCTGGTCTTCATCCTTGCTAATAGTCTTTATTTTTATTTTATTTCATTTTTTTAAAGAGAGAGAAAGAGAGAGAGAGAATTTTAGTATTTATTTTTTAGTTTTTGGCGGACACAACATCTTTGTTTTTGTATGTGGTGCTGAGGATCAAACCCGGGCCGCACGCATGCCAGGCGAGCACGCTACCGCTTGAGCCACATCCCCAGCCCTAATAGTCTTTACTTTTAAACCCAAGTTACCTAATATTAATATCGCCATTCCAGCTTTCCTTTGACTAATATTAGCATGGTTTATCTTTTTTTTTTATCCTTTTACTTTTGACCTGTGTGTTAGTCAGCTTTTCATTGCTGTGACCAAAATAACCTACAAGAACAATCTAGAGAAAGAAATTTTTATTTTTGGCTCATGGTTCCAGAGGTTTAGTTCACGATCAGCCAAGTCCATTGCTCTGGGCCCAAGGTGAGATGAACATCATGGTGGGAGGGCGTGGTGGAGGAGCACTGCTCACACAGGGCAGCCGGGAAGCAAAGAGAGTGGGAGAGTCCTTAGGCAGATAAAGCCTTCAAAGGCACAACCCCAGTGACCCACCTCCTCCAGCCACATTCCCCTTGCCTACAGTTACCACCCAGCCAGTCCACTCCAACTAGGATGGACTGATTAGGTTACAGCTCTCACAATCCAATCACTTCCCCTCTGAACATTCCTGCATGAACACAGCAGCTTTTGGAGACTACCTCAAACCCAAACCACAACAATCTGTTTGTGTCATTATATTTAAAATGCATTTTCTTTCTTATAGGTAGCATGTAACTTTCTCTATTTAATCTCTGGCTTTTAACTAATGATGTCTAGACCATTCACATTTAATGTGGCTACTGATTTGGTTAGATTTGAGGTTGTTATTTTTTTGGTATTTGTCTGCTGGATTTGAACCAAAGGCCTCACAAGTGCTAAGAATATTCTACCACTGATCTTCACACCAGCCCAAAGAGATTATCATCTTATAATTTTTTTCTTCTGTTTCCTTTTTTTTTTTCCTTTGTGCAGTGCTAGGAGTTGAACTCAAGACCACACACTTGCCAGGTGAGCACTCCATGCCTGACCTGTACCCCACATCCTTCCCTAGTTTTGTACTGAGTGTTTTAAAAATAATTCCAGTTTATGTGCATTGTTGGATTATTGGATTGATGGTGTAGATGTTTAACTTATCACTATACATTTTTAAGTGATATGCTACTTGACATATAAGGATGTTCTGTACATATATTTTTATTTATTTATCATTTAGGGAGAATTCCTTATCAAAATAACATTGTTTAGGCTGGGGATATACCTCATTGGTAGACCACTTGACTAGCATGTGCAAGGCCCTGTTTCAACCTCCGGCAATGAAAAATATCAAAATAAAAGTGATTGCTGTTGTATGCTCATTCTTCCCCTCCAAGAGTTCCAGAAGTAGGAAAGCCCTACTTACTCCCATCCAACATTCCCAGAAAGTGTATGTGACTGAATTCATCTATCAAAGTTCTGTGTTAAAGCCAGGTAACATCACACTAAAACTCTTATGTGGTGAGAATAAACTCTGGCAGTGAATTAGTTTTCCATTGCTATGACAAAATAACTGAGAGAAGCAACTTAAAAGAGAGGGAGGGTTTATTTTGGTCTACACTTTCAGTGGTTTCAATCCATAGTCCCTTGACTTTGTTATTTCTGGGCCTGTGTGAGGCGTGACATCATGGTGGGGGTGGGGAGCACATGATGGAGAAAGCTGTTCACCTAATGGTGGCTGATAGGAAAGAGCAAGAGGAAGGGTCCATGCATATATCCTTCTAACCCCACTGACCTACTAGGCCCCATTCTCCAACTAGGCTCCATCTCCTAAAGTTCTCACTACCTCCCTTTAGGCCATTAAGCTATGAGTTCATCAGTGGATTAATCCACTTTTGAGGTGGAGCCTTGTGATCCAATTACCTCCAAAGGTCCCACTTCTGAATGCTGTTACTTCAGAGGTCAAGCTTTGGAGATATTTCAGACCCAAACCATGACATTCAACCAGGGGGCACAAAGGCTCATATCCATCTCATAATGCAAAACTCATTTAGTTGTCAAGAGTCCCCAAAGTTTCAACAGCTCAAGCATCATTCAAAAGTCCAAGTCCAAAGTGTCCTCTGAGGTTCAAGGCTCACTAAGCTGTGAGTCCTATGAAAACCCCAAACAAGCCCCACCCCTGAGCCCTTTCTCCCTGTAGCCCAGATGGCCATCCCCTAGGGCTGCGGAACAAACAAAAACCTGACACTTTGACTTTAATAATAATTCACTTTAGACTTGCTCTTTGCTGATCATTTATTACTACCATGTGAGCTGTGTTAAGTTATTTTAAATCTATAATTTCAGTTTTCTGACCTCAAAGGGAAACTCATGGGGTAAATGAAGACACTTTTTTTTTTTCTTATCTACTCAGGCACCATAGTCCTTTAAGTTTAAAAGTCTAGATAGGAAAATAATTCATGATTCTTGTCCTCAGAGACTGAAATCCCCGGGGGGGGGGGGGCAGGGCAGGATAAGTTCACAGAAAGATAAACAAACACAGAGGTCAAATGTACATAAGTGCCAAAGACTGGAGGAGAGCAGGGTCATTTGCCTGAAGGAATCATCAGTGTGACCCTTAGTGTAGTAGAGAGAGCCTTTAAGGCCAGCCATGTGAGCTTCCTTAGGTCTAAGTGCATACACGGACATACCACCTTCATTTTTCCAATAAAATACTTGAGAACCCGTCTACTCCCTCTCCTTGGAACTTCTTCACATAGACTCCCCACCCTGTGCTGCAGTATACAAGAAACCCATGGTCTTACTCTTCAAACTTTTGAGCCTCCTGCCTCAGCCTCTAGAGTAGCTGGGATTACTGGTGTGAACCACTGTGTCTAGAAGAATAATTTCAAAATAGAGAGTCAGGATTTCCTGGACTGGCTACTAACCAATGCAGTTCAGTACCAGAATGGTTCCAAAGAAACCAAAAAGCAAAAAATGGAAATCTGAAATTGATCATCAAACTGATTGGGCTGCAATACAGTGATGACCTCTTAGCGAATGAAAAATAGGACTCAGGCAGATTGTGGCAGGCAGTGGTAAAACCTGTATTTAAATTATGCCCTTGGTTGTCCGGGATGAAATGTTTATTGAAGGGAAAGCTCTGGAACTCTGAGTAGCTGCTTCATTCAATATTTGGGGGGGATAATGGTACAACGACCCTGAGGTTGGATGGCTCCCTCTGACTGCTCCAAAGAGCCTTACAGTAAGAAAACGATAAACCCAGGGCAACCAGAGAACCTGAAAATTCTCCAGGTCCTCTGAAAAAAATCTCTGGTTTCTTGTAGCCACGGGACTGAGAGAAACCCACATTCTGCTGGTTTGAGTTGCAGAATTACAAGATAAACTGATTTAGAAGCTTATCCATTTTCCAGTGTGGGCAGGACTTGAGAAGAACTTAAATCCTGAGTGTTGAAAAAGGGACATTTATTTGTATAGAGTCAGACAAATCTCAAAAACAATCTCAAAACACCAAAGGCCCCTAAATGCCCATTGTGAGTAGAAGCACTCTCTCTCCCATATCTGAGCAGACTAGACACTTTTGCCTGGTTGAAAACACTTTGTTAGACTGGAATGATGTTCATAGGATGTGGTATTTGCTTTGTCTCACCAACCAAAATAATATTCTCCACCGTCAGAAACACTAGTTCAGAGACCAAGTGTTGAAAATGAGAATAATTCCTCTCACTACAATACTGTTTTCCTGAAATTTGCTTCCTGATCCTGTATTTTTTTAAATATTTATTTATTTAATTTTTTTAGTTTTCGGCAGACACAACATCTTTGTTTGTATGTGGTGCTAAGGATTGAACCCGGGCCGCACGCATGATAGGCGAGCGTGCTACCGCTTGAGCCACACCCCCAGCCCCGATCCTGTATTTTTAATGTCTACAAATTTAGAGGTCTATCTTTATCCAAGACAGAAATGCTCCCATTGGGGGACCTATCAATGCTTCCAAGTGAACTGACTGACTGGGGCTTCTCATGCCTTGGAACTGATATGCAAGAAGGAGGCCTGTTTCTGACTGGAGTAGTCAATTCCAACTATAAGAAGATAATAGTGTTGTCACTACGCCCTTGGACAGGGAAGATCAAATTAAAAAAAAAAAAAAAGGACATGGAGTCTCAGGAATGCCACTTCAGACCTCTAAATCCAGTACTAGTAGTTAAAAGAATGGCTGGGTTAACCCAATTAAGGGTGGAGACTGAGGATTCTGATTTTTTTTTATGTATACCTTGGCATCCTCTTTAATATCTAGAGACTAGATTATAAAATTAGGACTCCTTTGCCAAATATATATACAATATATACAGTACAGCAAAGTTAAATGAAATACACGTTACAGGGCAACGAGTAAGCTGAAAATTTCCAGAATACTGGCACAAAACACCTTTTGCAACTTCTTCCCTCCTGCCTCCCTCAACCCAGTGAACAAGTATGGACAGTGCTCTGCTAAGAGGAGGTTCAGCAATTCCAAATACAGTATTTCCCATCCGTTTTTAAAAGCTGTTTACAAAAAGTTTCAATTCTACTACTTGTACTTTTAAATATATCAAGCACTTCTAAATATATAAAAAGACTAGATATTCCACATAAGAACCTGTCCACTATGCACACAGCCCTGGTAAATAAAATTACACACATAGCAATGGTTATAATCTGAGGTATCTTCAAATATGACCATTTTGTTCTTGAACCTTTCCCTCCTCACCTCCTTCTCTCTACTTTTAAGTCAAGAGGACAAGTACAGATGTATGAAACACTTAGAGATGGTTGAACAAAAGTCATTTACAGAGGACAAACTTTCCTATGAATTTCAATAAAAAAATGTAAAAAAATGTTTTAATTTTGCTAACTACTTGGTCATACACTGGCAACCTCTTTAACAGCTAGAGACTAGATGTTGCAAAATTGGGACTCATTTATCCATTATATACACTATACTGATCCTTCTTGAATGAAAACTTAGGTCATACCACCAAATAGATAATCCCACTCATCTAAGTTTCCTGGCTGTGATTCAAGGAGAGATGGAATGGATAGTAGAAAAAAATTTAAAATATCAACTACAGCTTGCTCATCAGTTACAGAAATGAGGACTATTAGCAGTTAGGAATGTTTTCTACTTTGCTTGTTATTTTGCTTGTTATACACTGGTGTTAATTTTCTGTCACTGTAACAACAACAACAACAAAAAAAAAAAAAACTGAGATAAACAACTTAAAAGGAGAAAGGGCTACTTTGAATGAGTATGAGAGCATGGTTTGTTGGCCCCATTGACTTTGGGCCTGTGGCAAGGCAACCCATCCTGGTTGGATCACATGGTAGTGGCAGCTACTCACCTCATGGCAGCCAGGATCAAAGAGTGACAGAGTGGAAGGGCCTGCTTGTTGAAAGGCAATGATGTAGTGATTGACAGCCTAGGACCTGGCACCAGGACTCCATCTAGATCTGAATTCAGATTTTACCACTTATAAATCATAAAGGTTTTTTTTTTTTTTAAGAATTTAACCTATGTATTTTTTATTTATTTGTTTTTTATGTGGTGCTGAGAATCAAACCCAGCACCTTACCCATTCTAGGCAAGCACTCTATCCCTGAGCTACAACCTCAGCCCTAAGTCATGAAAGTTTGAGGGGATTTTCTTAAAACAACTAGAAAGTCACCTTTGACAATCCCCAACACTGAACAGACTCTCAAAGAGAAAGGCCACCACAATTTTTAAACTCTGAATTATGAGATTAATAGAAGTTTAGTCATAGCTAAAAAGTGAATTTGTGAATTAGAAAAGACACCTGAAACTAGTCAGCTTCTATCACAGAGAAATGGAGAGATGGAAAATAAGAAAGACTGATTAAAAGAAATGGAGGACAGAATGTATGAACCTGGAGGAGACATAAAGGGGAATAGGTAGAATGGTCAGTTGTAAAGAGAAATTGAGTCTTTTATAGAACTGATGCCCACATCTCAAATAGGATTTCAAAATGACAAATAATTTACAATAAACAGAAATATTATGTAGATATAGGGTTTAATGTTTTTTTTTAAATATGATAAATTTGAAACACTACATATGGTATTTTCTACACATATGTTTATATATGTATTATCATTGATCTTTTTAAATTTCTTTTTTAGTTGTAAATGAACACAATACATTTACTTTATTTATTTATGTGGTGCTGAGGATGGACCCAGTGCCTCACATGTGGTAGGCAAGCACTCTGCCACTGAGCGACAGCCCCAGCCCTTATCATTGTTCTTAAGAGAAAATTTCAAATTGAATATGAAAATAGCACCTAAATATGCAAGAAACTCACATAAAATATAACAAATTAAAAATGGTTTAAAGTGAAGGAAACTGATATTCCAAGAAAATATTTTTGAAAATAAAGTTGGGCTAACGGTATTAAACACTATAGACTGAGGGCTGGTAGGGCACTTGCCTAGCATGCATGAGGCCCTGGGTTCAATCTCAAGCACGGTAACCCCTCCAACAAAATGAACACCTACAACCATTATAGGCTGAATGTTGGTGTACTTCCCTCCCCAAAATTCTTAAGCTGAAGCCCTAACCTCCAGTGTGATTGTATTTGAGAGGATGTCCTTATAGAAGGAATTAAAATGAGGTCATCAGAGTTGGGCCCTGATTTGAGAGGATTTGTGTCCTTGTAAGAAGAAGAGAAATCAGAGCTCTTTTTCTTTCCAAGTACACAGGAGAGGGCATGTGAGGACACTGTGAGAAAACAGCTGTGCCAGGAAGAAATGCCTCACCAGGAGCCAACCACACTGGCATGCTGATCCCGAACAGCCACCTCCAAATTGTGAGAAAATAGATTTCTGTTGTTTCAGCCACCAGGTCTAGGGTACTTTGTCACGGCAGGCTGAACTAACACACACACCAGTAATGAATAAGATGGACTTTGTGGCCAAACATGGAAGGAAGGGAAGGAGGGAGTAGAGAAGAGAGAAATAGTAAGCATTTGGGATAAAGAGGATCAACCCTGAAGGATTATTTAAGTCACAGAAAGTTAAAACAATATTGAATTTGCATGTATCTAATGATTTTGCATAGTACAAGTCAAAAGTATCAAAAATCTTTGATAAATCTATAATTATAACAAGACATTTTAACATATTTTCCCCTTAGGAACTCTAGATCAAATACAAAATATAGACATAAAACTAAGCAAGCTTGATCTAATAGTTACAGAGAATTGTGTGTCTGGTAAATGGAGAATTATGAAGTGCAGATGAGACATTTTGATGAATTTCTTAGGGCACAAAATAATGAAAAGAATTGATGTCTTATGGAGAACTTATACTGGCCATAATGCAAAGTTTAAAAATAAAACATCATCTGCACCAAGTGTTGTGGTGGATACACTAATCAATTTGATTGTGGTAATGATCAAAATGTATACATATACCAAATCATCATGTATATCGTGGGTATACCCAATTTTTATTTGTCCATCTTACAAATAAATAAATAAATAAGTTGCAAAAAAATAAACCCAAAGACATATATTGGGAAATGAAACTTTATTCTCTCTGGTAAGATTAATTAAAATTAAAAAAAGAAAGAAAGAAAACAGAGAGAAAGGGCAAAATTTTTAATTTTTTTTTAAAAGAGGAGAGAGAGAGAGAATTATTTTTAATATTTATTTTTCAGTTTTCAGTGGACACACATCTTTATTTTATTTTTATGTGGTGCTGAGGATCGAACCCAGTGCCCTGCGCATGCCAGGTGAGCGCGTTACCTCTTGAGCCACATCCCCAGCCCCAATTTTTAAATTTAAGATTAAAAAGGGATTTTTAAAAATCATAATAGAATACTATAAAATAATTTAATGCAAATGAAATCCAGCAATATATTTTAATAATATATGAGTTTACTTCAACAATTCAAAGATGACTTAACACCACTGTTATATAAAAATGACAAGATCCTGTGACTGAGGGTATAGCTCAGTGGCAAAGAACTACCTTAGCATGTGCCAGTTATAAGCCTCAGCACCAAAAATAAGTAAATCACAGGAGGCCCTTGTGTTGAACTCAGCTCCTGCACGGGGTACCAATAGACCAGGTTTATTTGTAATCCCTGCCACACACACAAAAAAAAAAAAAAAAAAAAAGAGAGAAAAAAAAAAGAAAAGAAAAGAAAAAAAATAAATATGATTAAAATGTAGTCATTCTCCTTATCCTGACCTTCTGAGAAATCAGGATTAGAGAGATAACAGGCTAATTTCCCAGTCAGGCCAGTTTCCATTGGCTAGGTAATGAAAATTCCCTCTGCCTCAATCCTTACACACACTGAAGTTAGCAACCAGTGATTTTCCATTGTTCTGCCTCCCTAGCTCACCTTAAGGCAGAGCACCTGAATGGCCAGTCCCCTTCCCATGTCTTGTTTTTCTTTTCTTTAGCCTTCTCTGTCTCTAACACGGCCTCTTCTCTGAATACTGACTCTATTTTATGAAATCAAGTGTCATCTGGTTCTAGAATCAAAATAAGACCAATTAAGATCCAAACTAAAGTAAATAGTTGTGATGTTGTCCTTCAACTGCAGAAAATAATGTCATTTATCATATAACAGATATAAAGAGAAAAATCTACATGGTTCTATTAATAGATTGTAAAGTCATTTGACTACATTCAGTACAAATCCATATTTAGGTCTCCTCATCCATCCAAAAGTGGAAACTATAATTAGAAGAGAAATCCCTTTACCTTTTAAAGGGAACCTGTGATAAAATCATGTCAAACATTACATTTTCTTTTTTTTTTTTTTAACAGAGAGAGAGAGAGAGAGAGAGAGAGAATTTTTAATATTTATTTTTTAGTTTTCGGCGGACACAACATATTTGTTTGTATGTGGTGCTGAGGATGGAACGCATGCCAGACAAGCGCACTACCGCTTGAGCCACATCCCCAGCCCCTCAAACATTACCTTTTCTGATTAGAAATCAAAATCAAGAACCAGATGAGGATGCCCATAATTCCCACTCTTATTGAATATTTCTCTCTTTTTTGGGAACAGTACAAGGTTTTGAAATTCTTATTTAGAGAAGGCTTATCATTTCCTGGATATACTTACAAATATACTTTTCTCTTTTTTTTTTACAGTGCTGGAATCAAAGAAAAAAACATATCTAAATAAATAAATAAATAAAAGATCTAAAAGGAAAACAGGATTCTAGAAGCAACAATGATAAATTTGAAAATTAGCAATTTTAGAAATTTGGGTGGGGATATAGTCACGATGCAATTTTAAAGCTTAGGAAAATTATTTTGGTTATTCTTTTTTATTCAACAAATACTTGTTCATGTCCAATGATGGGAAGGACCTTTTAATTACTTATTATGGAAATTTTCAAACATAACCGAAAGTAGAGATAATAATATAGTAATCTTCCACGGTACAAGCTTCCACAATTATTAACATTTGTTTTATTAGACATTCTGCTTTTGCTGGTGTGACTCCAGTACTTTAACACAAATTTATATATATAAATTTCACTTGTAGATACTCCAATGTGCATATCTAAGAAATAAAATTTGAGAACAAAACACATATTAGTTAGGTTTTTGTCACTATGACCAAAATACCCGAGAGGAATAACTTACAGGAGGAAAAGTTGTTTTAGGGCTCATAGAGTCAGAAGTTTAGACTGTGGTGGGCCAACTCCATTGCTCTGGGTCCAAAATGAGGCAGAACATCATGGCACACAAAAGCTGGTCCATTCATGAAGGTCAGGAAGCAGAGAGACAAAGGGGAAGGTGGTCACCAGAAGATGAACTCTTCCAGGGTATGCCCAGTGACCCCTCTCTCCAATCATGCCCCACCTACCTATGGTTACCACTCAGTCAGTTCATTCACACTCTGATGAATTGATTAGCTTACAGCTCTCCCAATCCAATCATTTCACCTCTGAACTGAACGTTCCCACATTAAAACAGAAGCTCTGGAGGGCACCTCATTTTCAAGCCATAACATTGCATTTAAGTCACCTTAACGTCATCCAGTCATCCTGAAGCTATCAGAAGAGATCAGTACTGTGTCTGTTTCTATTCCATACTAACTTTTATCAGCTACCTGCTAAAATCTTAATATAGAATTTCACAACTATGGCCCATCAACCTTTTTAAGCAGTACAATTAATTTGGAATTACATTTATTTTTTCGTTGAACCTAAGATCATGTATCAATGATCTCTGCTTCCTTTTATAAATCTTCCCACACCATTAGTTCAATAATGCACTTTGGATTTTTCTTTTCTTTTTTTTTTTTTTTCAGTGCTGGGGATTGAATTCAGGGGTGCTCTACTACTAAGCTACAACCTCGGTTCCTTTTGATTAGTTTTTTTGAGACAGGGTCTCCTTAAGTTGCCCAGGCTGGCCTTGAACTTGCTTTTCTCCTGCCTCAGCCTCCCTAGTTCCTGGGATCACCCACATACGCCACTGTGCTGGCTGTGCTTTGGAATTTTACATGACTTTCTGGAAAAATTCTTTTCTGCTCTTTTAAACACTGGATAAACAAACCTCAGTCTTATCTTGATTTTATTCCTTTTCCTTTGTCATTATTAGGCAATAATTTAACCTAATATCTTCCACCTCACGTTTGAAATGAAGCAATAAGACATATGTTGGGGCTGGGGTTGGGGCTCAGTGGAAGAGCGCTTGCCTAGCACACGTGAGGCACTGGGTTCGATCCTCAGCACCACATAAAAAATAAGTAAGTAAGTAAGTAAATAAATAAATAAATAAAAGAGATTTTTTTTTTTTTAAATGGACTTGTGATTAAAGGGAGTCTGAAGAACTGACCACCTACAGTGGTACGATGGGCTCCAACGTGGAGGTAGGCCACCTAAGACAACCTTTCCTACCTGTCATAGGGTGGGGGCAGTGCAGGTGGAAAGACCATGGTGTTTGTCTCTGTTCTGTGCCCTGGACCTCAACTTAAAAGCAGAAAGAAGTAGAAAGTCCCCCCCCTGGCCCTCATCATTTCTGTCCTCTCCCCTCCTTCACTTGCTCTCACGGGTAAGCTGCTCACATATGACAGGACATGCCTTTGAACAACCTGTAAGTTCTCTGACCCTGAGGTAGAACTCTGGAGAATGCATGTGAAGGGGAAGTCTCATGGCAGACGGGAGAGAGGGCTAAGATGAGGGTGGGCAGGGCTGGGGCGGTGGTTCAGATGGTGCTGGGAGGCCCAAGAACTCTTATTCAGACGCCTCATCATCTTCTCCACCTTTCAGGCATGAACCCACACACACGTCAGGGGACTGGTTGTGGTGGCACAGGAGCCTTTTCCTGGCTGAGTTTTCTGAGAGACAGCTGTTATCTGTAAAAGAAGGGTCGTCACACATGCCTGCAAAGAGGCAGATCCCTGAAGGTGGGCATGGTCCTGGGCGAGCTGTAGGGAGAGCCTCTTTCCTCCATTCTGGCTCCGGGGGACATTGTACTGCACCTACCAACAATGTCTTTCACAGGTTCCCTTGTGACCCCCACGTCAAATTATTAATCCCTTTGCTCCCCCTCCCTGGAGAGCTCTGCTGTGAGAATTTTTTTTGTCTAATCTGATTTCTCCGAGAACCGTTCCCTATACCCTGCCAAACTCTCCTGGAGCCAACTTGGCAAAGGCCAAAGGGGATCGTCAATTAATTCCATCCTCTTCATGTTTTGCACTAATCATTGAAATAAAGGCCTTCTTTTTTTCCCATATGGAAACTGGGTGCTCTGTTATTATGAATGAAAACAGAAAAGGCTTGTTAACAACACCAGTTCTTAATTACCTGCTTTTTATTTTATTTCTTGGCAAGCTTCCCTGAAGGAAAAAAAGAAAAACTGATGTCATTGCAGAGAAAAAAAAAATCTAGTGCTCTTAATAGTTCCTTTGATATAGTTTTGATTTTTAACGCTAGTCTTCTTCTTGGACCTGGAATCCAATCTCCTAACTTTGAACTGCTAAACTGAAGATAAGGACCTGGCACATGTGAGGTACTGGGTTCGATCCTCAGCACCAGGAGACGATGTGATTTAGATGGACAGAAGGGACGACCTACATCTCAACATTTGCTTCCTGACCTTTGTTATTTTCTCTGCCATCTATAAATCAGCTGACCCAGCTTCCTAGAGAGCTTCTGTAGATTATTTTATTTTTTCTTTTCCTAAACTTTCCATTTTAGCCATTGTCAAATGCAAGTTTTGGTGGAATGCAGGGCATTGACAGTTTTGGGCCACCAGCTCCATCCATCTCCAGAACTCATCAATCTTTCCAAACCCTGTGCCCATTAACTTCCCCTCTGCCTCCCCCAAGTCCCTGGTCGCCACTTTCTGTGGCTGTGAATTTGCTTCCTGTAGGCACCTCCTCTAGGTAGGATCAGGCAGCATGTGTACTCTCTTGAGCCTTGCTTATTTCACTTCGAACAATGTCTTTAAGGTCTATCCATGTTGTAGAGTGGGCCTCACAGATTTTTTAAATTGTAATGAAAAGACAGAATATAAATTTACCCTTTTCACAATTCTAAGTGTAGAATATAGTAGGTTAACTTTATGCACATTGTTGTACAACAGAGCTCTAAAACATCTTCATCTTGAGTGACTGAAACTATATCCACAGAACAACTTCCCCATATCCTCCTCTTTCTGGGCCCGGAACCACTGTCCTACTTCCTGTTTCTGAGTGACTCCTGTCTATCTCATGTAGGTGGAATCCTGTAGCATTTATCTTCTCTCCCCACCGTTTTTTTTTTTTTCAGTACTGGGACTTAAACTCAGAGTTGCTCTACCACTGAGCCACATCCCCGGCCCTTTTTATTTTTTATTTAGAGACAGGTCCTGGCTAAATTGCCCAGGCTGGCCTGGCAATTGCAATCCTCCTGCCTTAACCTCCCAAGTGGCTGGGATTACAGCCCTGCACTGCCACTCCCAGCTCCACATTTATCTTTTTGTGATTGGCTTATTTTATTTAAAGTCCTTAAGGCATGTCAACCTTGTCATATGGAAGGATTTCCTTCCTTTGAAAAGGCTAAATTAAATTAGATACCACGATATAAATATACCATTTTTTTTTTTTGTCCTATAATCTGTCAATGGATATTTGAGTTGCCTTTGCCCCCGGGGTATTGTGGACACAGTTGCTGTGGTTTGGATGAGTGTTCCCTGGGAGGTGGTGGAATCTTTAAGAGAAGGAACCTAGTGGGAGGAAGTGAGGGCATTGCGGCTGTGCTCTTGAAGGGGATATTGGGGCCCAGCCCCTTCTCTCCCTTTTCTTCTGAGCCACCACAGCTAAGCCATTGGCTCCGCCACTCATTCCCCACCATAATCTTCTGCCTCTCCACAGCCCCAGGCAACAGGACCAGGTAACCGTGGACTGAAACCATGTGCCAAGATAAACCTCCTCTCCTGGTTTTGAAATGGGGTTTTGCACCATTGCCCAGGCTGGTCTCAAACTCCTGGGCTCAAGCTATCCTCCACCTCAGCCTCCTGAGTAGCAACCTAGAATCGCAGCTGATATCCCTGCACCTAACTACTTCTGATCACCTAATGTGTTTGTTAGAGTTTCAGAAACTGACTAACACAATGGGTATGTAAGTGTCTTTTGAGATCCTGTTTTCAGTGGTCTTTGGTATATATCCCTGAGTGGTCGGCTGGATCATGTGGTAGTTCGTATTTTTGAGTTCTCCATAGCAGCCGCATTTTTTCATAGTCCCACCAACAGTGAGCTCAGGTTCCAGTTTTTCCACATCCTGCCAACACTCTTCTGTCCTTTTGGAAGTGGCTGTTGTAATGGATATGAGATGATATCTTTTCGTGGTTTTGATTTGCATTTCCCTGGTGATTAGTGAGGTTGAGCATCTCTTCATGTGCCTGTTGGCCATTTCTCAGTCCTCCAAGGGTTTTTATATCATCCCTCTGAGTTTTTCACTTCTCACTTTCCTCCACTTTCATACGTCCATGCAAAGAACAGGTGAATCTGTTAATGAAAAGTAATGTATTTGTTTTTATCTATTAGGGGTGGGGGAGGAAGAACTGAAGATAAAAAGACATATTTGAGAAAGGAGCTGGAAAAAGAAGGCAGGTAGGAAAGATTTGAAAGTTTCAAGTGAGATGGAGATCCCTCTTCATCAGCAAAGCAGTAGAATTGGGGGTGACAGAAAGGAACACTGCCACATGTCCCCCAGAAAATCCTGAGCAGAAGTCTTCCTCATCACCAATCTGTGAGTATCCTAAAGAGCAGAATCCTCAAAGCAACAGGGCCAAGCGACCTTGGACTAAAAACCTCTGAAACTGGACCAAAATTAACTGTTTTCTTTCTTTTTCTTTTTTTCTTGGGGGGGGGGGTATGTGGTTACCAGGGATTGAACTCAGACACTGTACCACTGAGCCACATCCCCAGTCTTATTTTGTATTTTATTTAGAGACAGGATCTCTCTAAGTTGCTTAGTGCCTCGCTGTTGTTGAGGCTGAGTTTGAACTCTCAATCCTTCTGCCTCAGCCTCCCGAGCGGGGTGGTGGTGGGGGGATCACAGGTGTGCGCCTGAGTCTCATTTTGTGGTCCAGTCTGGTCCCCTCAATGTTTTCACAACTCTCAAAAAGTCTTTTGAACAACTGACTGATTTAAAAAATAAGTCAGGACTCCCATCCTGGGTCTCTCAAGTCATGAAGGTGTCATCCCCAAACTGCTCAGGACATCCTGACAGGATCCCCTTCCCCACCCTCATCCACGCCAGGCCCATCCACGGAGTTCCCCGGAAGCCCGGGCTGACTCTGGTGAACTGGAAGGCTCCCACCTTCCTCCCACACAGACTCCGCCTCCTTGCCATGAGCGATGGCCCCATGAGGGTTCCAAGAGGTTCTGTCTCCACGCACCTCACCTTCCAGGCCTTTCCCCTCCTCTTCTTGCAAAATGACAGCAGCTGCCTGATGCTTGGCCCTCAGACCACACCCCGCTCTTCCTGTCGCCTTCTGTAGCAAGCAATGTCCTCGCTGTCCCCAGTCCCTCAAGAGTGCTCTTCTGACCCCACCCCAGTTCATCGGCTCTTACGTTCCGACCTGTCCTTTCCTTAACCATCTCTTCAGTCATCTCCCCCCGCCCCCTCCATCTCAGCCACCCAATCCATGGACAAACCCTGCATCTTCTTGTCATCAGGTGCCACCTCTAAAACCTCAAATTCAGATGCTGTTCCTTCACTGTCATCCCTCATCCTTCAACCTCATCCCTCTGAGCAGCTCTCAGGTCTCACTGAGACCCTGTCCATCACCCCCAGCCTGTCCTGCCGGCAGTGTCCAGCTGGATGGCACAGCCCAGGATCATCATCACTCCTGGAAAACACTCTTCACTTCCTCTCTGTCGTCTGGAAGGAACTCAGTCCTCCATCACAGCCACACCAGTTGTCTTCTGCTTTGCAGAAGAATCCAGCCACCCCAGGCAGGCTCACCTCATTCAGAGACATGACCACAGCCTTATGTGGAAACGGTACCATTCGTGCGTGGTTCAGTTCACTCTCCCACTCTCTAAGCTAACTCTCCAAGCCTGTTCTTTCTCCTCAAGCCTCCACACATGCCTCCACCCTGTCCGCCCTTATTGTGACATCTGCTATCACTTTTAAAACTTCCATATCATTCATGGGTTCTGATGCATTTCCTAGCAGTTTAAGCTTCATTCCAAGCTTGGTTAGTCACAGGCACGGTCAAGGGCCCAGCCCTGTGGTGTGCCTGAAGAGCCCTGTGGGTGTGGCAGAGAGAGGGACAGGTACACACCCACAGGGTCTGCTGGGAGCTGGGGCAGCCTTGGGTCCCCAAAGCCCTGGTGGAGTCATCATGACAAACTCACTGATGTGAGCACTTACCTTCACACAGATCCACCTGTGACCGGGAGAAATTTCATTCCTAGGTGTTCCTGAGGCTCTCTCCCTCCCTCTCTCCTTGTGTCCCTCTGTATGGCCTTCCTACTGATCTCTTAGGAGAGCTGGGTGCTGTGTTGCACACCTGTGATCCCAGCAGATTGGGGGGCTGAGGCAGGAGGATAGTGAATTCAAAGCCAGCCTCAGCCAAAGCAAGGCGTAAAGCAACTCAGTCTCTAAAGGAAATCCAAAAATTGGGCTGGGGAAGTGGCTCAGTGGCCGAGTGCCCCTGAATTAAATCCCCAGTACCCCTGTCCCCCCCTGGAAGGAAGAGATCCATCTCTCTGCAGATGAGTCAAAGCTGCACTCATTTCTTCTGGCTGCCATAGTACCAAAAACTTGGATGGCTTCAAACAACAGAAAGTCATTTTCTAATGGTTCTGGTGGCTGGAAGTCTGAAATCAAGGTGTCATCAGGGCCACACTCCCTCTGAGGGGAGCAGCCTTGCCTCTTCTAGTTTCTAATAAATGCCTATAGCTGAGGCCTGGCCTCACGCTAATGTTTTAGTGAGGCTGTGCTGGGCCACAGGCTGACCCTGACCTCGTGTGATACTCTGACCCTGTGTTGTCTCCATCAAACCAGCTCAGGTCTGTTTGCTGCAACCTTGCCCAGGATCCCAGAGAAAGGCCTCTTCCCTGTGCAAATGCTCCCCAATGAACCCCATCTCTTGAGTCTGATTTTCAAAGCTTGACTTTTTCCTTTTCCCCCAATCTCTCTTCTTCATCATCAAATTCTTCCTTTTTCTGAATGGTTCCCATTAGCACAGAGACAGTCAGAAGATTTTCTCATATTAAAAACAGACAGAAATTCGATTAAGTTAACAATCCCCAGGGTTACTGCCTCTTGTCTGTTTCTTTTCCCAGAAAGACTTTTCAAAGGAATTATGTCCACTTGCTCTTTTTTTTTTTTTTTTTTGTAGGGGTGGTGGGGTACTGGGGATTGAACCTAGAGGTGCTTAACCACTGAGCCACATCCCCAGCCCGTTGTTTTTTTTTTTTTTTTTTAAGACAGGGTCTAGAGCTGGGGATGTGGCTCAAGCGGTAGCGCGCTCGCCTGGCATGCGTGAGGCCCGGGTTCGATCCTCAGCACCACATACAAACAAAGATGTTGTGTCCGCCGAAAACTAAAAAATAAATATTAAAAAAAATTATCTCTCTCTCTCTCTCTCTCTCCCCCACTCTTTCTTTAAAAAAAAAAAAAGACAGGGTCTAGCTAAGTTGCTCAGGGGCTTGATAAATTGCTAAGGATGGCTTTGAACTTGTGATCCTTCTGCCTCAGCCTCCTGAGCGGCTGGGATTACAGGTGTGCACCACTGAGTCCAGCTTGCCTAGTATTCTTACTGTCCCATTTTACATTTAGGAATGTAAAATTAGAAGCACAAATACTTGCAATTGTGTCACAGTCTCCTGCGGTGTTCAGCACAGTCCTTTGGAGCAGCAGGCGGTACCCTAGAGCTCAGGTGTGTGGCAGGCTCCACCTTGGTCTGTGTAAGTGCATCCTGTGATGTTTGCATGGTGACGTTGCCTAACACCGCCTCTCCCAGATGCACCCCTGGGGCTGAGTGATGCCTTTCACCCACAGTCTTCCTGGAATAGCTCTCTTCTCCAGCGTCCTTGACAAGTCCCTCCTAGTTTTCTCTTGTGTCTCTGGTCACTCTCTTTAGAAGTCTTGGCATCATTCCTGAGCTCTGGCACTTACATGCAGCAGATCATCTGACACGTCCTCTAGGGTGGATTACTGGCACCTCAGTCTCTCAGGTCCAAATAGGATCCTGGGTCTCCTCCCGCCCTTGCCCTGACATCAGGAGGTTCCAAAAGCTGACACATCCTTCTCTCTTGCCCGTTTTCAAGTCCAGAAATTTCTACCCACACACTCTTCCTGACTCTGTGTCTCCCTCTCCTGCCACCACAGAACCCAGGCTGTCACCTTCTTGTGCCCACAGAACCACCACAGCCTCAGGGAAAAGACCTGTTTAACCCTTTGTGAAAGCGGATTTTGAAAACCCCTAGAGATTTGTTTTTGCCAGAATGTGAAGAGCTTATAAAAGTATCACTATTTGGGGTATATGATCTGAAGGAAGAAAGGAAAGGTTAAATAAAGTTGTGCTTTGTTCAGTAATTCCTAATTAAGCTTTAGCGCCTTTAAAAATGTATTTTGAACACACATACATGTACTGTACCACAGGAATTGCTTTCCTTGGAACCGAGTCTTTCTGAGGGAGTTTTGGGGGGGCTGGAGTTTGAACACAGGAGGAAGCAGTTCTTTGGGGGCCCTGCCCATCCTAGCAGGGACCTTGGAAAGCCCCCAGGCCCTGGGCAGGACAGCACGGAGTTCTCCTCATCCACCTGTTCCCCAGCAGCTGAGTAATCTCCAGCAAAGCCCAGGGATCCCTCAGTGATGCTGAGGTATGTGTGGGGCGAGGGATTTTCTTTTCTTTCCTTCCCAAGTGATTATAATTTAATGCCACTTTTCTGTCGCCCCCCCAGACAGACAAGAGAGTGTGAAGCAGTCCCTGCAGTGTCTACAGTTGAGTAAAGAAGCATCTGGAAATACAAAAGTGGTAACCTATTTATTTTGGAGTGTTAAAATCTTTCCTAAACCTCAGCTTTTACTCAGAATGAATGGCATCTGAGCATGTCAGTCGATTATCGTGAAGTTTAGTTTTCCTGATGGGTCTCTGTTTCTCACTTGTTTTAAACAGCTTTGTTTTCACTACTGTGACCAAAAGACCCAACAAGAACAATTTTAGAGGAGAAAGAAACTTATTAGGTGTTCAAGGTTTTCAGTCCATTCAGAGGGCTCAGTCCAAGCTTTAGGCCAGGGTTGAGGCAGAACGTGATGGCAGGAGGGTATGGGGAAGAAAGCGGCTCAGGACACAGCCATCAGGAAGCAGAGGAGGACAAAATACATAACCCCAAAGGCACAGGCACAGTGACCCACCTCCTCCAGCCACAACCTACCTGCCCAGTTACCACCCAGTTAGTCCCTACCAGGGTTAATACAGTAGGTTAAGACTCTCCTAACCCTGTGCTTCACCTCTAAGCTTTCTTGCGTGGTCTCACGAGTGAGCTTTTGGGGGACACCGCACATCTAAAACATAACATGCCGATAGCCTACCACTGTTGTTAACAGGAACCTGAAGTATTTTAAGATGTAAAAAGTGATCTCTAAATGACCCTGCTGTGATGGCCAACTGCTTCACATCTGAAAGAAAGCAAAGGCGCAGAGTCAGACTGGGCGGGGCTCCGGAACTTTCCTCCTTTCCCTCCCTCTTCTTCCCAATCATCCAGTTATTAGGCTGATAACCAGTCCCAGAAATAAGACAAATCAGGCATCTGCCCTCCAGCCACTCCCTGTTCCCTTTAATAAAACTCTCATCAGTGACACGCTGGTTGGAAGAGGGGAGCAGAAGCCCAGTCTGCAGGGGCCATGGGCTGTGGTGGAACTGACCTTGTCTTGGCAGCAGGTCAGCTGCTGACAGAGAGAAGGGGAGAGGGAGAGGAGAGAGGAGGAAGAGAAGGAGGAGAGGAAAAGAGGAGAGAGGGGGACGAGAGGGTGGGGGAGAAAAGAACAAGGAAAAAAAGGAGGAGGAGGAGGAAAGAGGGAGGGAGGAAAGAAAGAGCAAAAGACAAATTTCAGGGATTTTATGAACGGGCTGTGCACAAGTCAGTTAAATGGATTGATAGAGCGTCATGTCCCTTTTCTACAAAACGAGAAATACAGAGAACTGAACTAAGAGATCATCTGTGTGCACAAAGTCTTGCTCGTGTTTCCCTTTCCACCATCTTGAGTTGCTTTGATTGCAGGCCTCTAAAGCACTGCCTGCTTGGAGTGTGCGGGTGCTAAGTTTACTGCTCTCCAGGATCCTTCCAGTTATTTCTCACTATATGACCACCCTGAGCCAGGAGGTCACTCTTTTTCAGGAAGAAAGTAAAAACTACAGTGCCTAAGGCCAGGGGACTAGGGAGTCAGAGCTGGTATTGGAAGGCAAGCTACTTGATCCCAAAGTCAGCTCCAACCTCTACACACCTCAATGCTCTCAGCCTTCATTCACCTCCTCTGGCGTATCCTTCTGTTCATCTTCCTTCTCAGGGTGACCGCCCCTCCTTCGGACCCCTCTGCAGCAGGCCCAGCCCAGAAGGGCAGCCTGCTGTGCAGCAGCCAGTGTCTTGCTGGTGCGTGTCTGCCACCTCGTGGCAAAATAGGGTAACTGCAGAAGTGGACATGCCATCTGCCGCACAGGGTGGTTTGTGGGAGAAAGAATATTAATTCACAATTGCTAAAAGAAATTCTTGTTCTTATTTTTAACAGACTCATGTGAGAGGAACAGGAAGTTCTCATGCCAATTGAAATAGAAAAACGGGGAATTGCAGGAGCAAGGATGGGTTGCAAGAGGCCAAGGACTGACATCTTGCTTTCTGGCATTAGTCAGATACAGCAGTACAATCATGCGGGAGGCACTGTGAAAAGTAGCTCTTTTCAGAAATGCATAGCATTGTGGAAACAGACCTCCCTATGCACCCATTCCCCATTGCAATAAATGTCCAATGTAGTCAGTAATATCCAAACCCAGGTATGTATTTGCAAACCTCGCTTTGTGAAAATATAGTTGACTTCCCCATCTGGATGATTTCTTGACAGTATCAAGGTACTTTTTTCTTCCTGTAAGTAAGCAAGTTATGAAATATAAGCAAAACTAAGAGGATATATTTCATAGAGTTACTAATATATCATCTGTCAGCCATATTAAGATACATAGAATAAAGTAACCAACAACAATGTTCCTCATGGAGAGAAAGATGGAAAGATCAAGTTTCCATGTTCCCCCTGAGCTACAACTACATCATGCCGTGCATATGTCAGTCTTATATTGGTGACAGCCAATGTATCCTGTTCTGGCCCATGTGTACCCAGCCCAAGGAAAAGGAGATAAACCCAGAGCTGCTCTGTGGGTCTAAGCACAGCTCCAGTTGTGGCTAGGTGTGCATGCTTGTGTCTCTGAGGCAGCAGCTGGTGTACTGGCTCCAGGCACTGCCATCTCCTGGCCCGCTGGCCTGAACTTCAACATTGGTCCTTGCATTACAGTCGCCAAGAGGCAGCAGAGAGGGCAGGACATGGGAGTTTTGTGCCACTCGGACTCAGGCACTGTGGTCCTTCTGTCCCTCTGCCCCCCTCCTAGGCTTGAAAGCCTTCAGGACTGTGAGTCTCTCTGTCTCAGTGGTGCTCGCAGAGCTACACTTGCATCTGGGTAATTTCCTTTGGAGCATGGGTTAAGCTAGCAGGGCACCTGTGCTGTAGGGGCTTGGGAACAATGATTTGGTTGGAAAAAGGGGCCATTTTGAAGTGCATTTGCTTTGTGTATTCGTCAGCTTGGGCTACCTTAACAGAATACCACAAATCAAGGGCTTATACTAAAGGAATTAATTTTCTCAGTTCTGGAGACTGGAAGTCCAAGATCAAGGTGCCGGCAGGGTTGCTCTCTGGGGAGGGCCCCTTCCTTAGATTACAGCCAGCCAGCCACCATCTCCTGTGCCTCATGGTGTGTGTGTGTGTGTGTGTGTGTGTGTGTGTGTGTGTGGTGGAGAGGAAGAGGGAGGGAGTTCTCAGTCTCTTAAATGGCAGTGATCCCGTTCCGAGGGCTCCACCTGTGTTTCATCTAAATTAGTCACCTCTAAGGGCCCACCTCCAAACACCCTAGCATGGGGATTAGGGCTCCCATGTGATTTTTAGGGGGATACAATTTAGTCCACTCCACTCAGCAAACACGTTTTTCATTTAGAGAGAAGGAGGTAAGAGGGAGCGACTTTAAACATCCTTCACTGAGCTAAAAACATTCACCCCTGGGAGGCAGGACACACAGATGATAGCAGATCCCCCACTAAGAGCAGCTTGTTGGGGGACAAAGGGGACCAGAATGAGGAGATTGCTGATGATGGAGGAACCTCTGGAGAGGAAGGGAAGCCTAAGGAAACCATGGCCACAGTCGGTTTGAGAATGGGCAAAGAGTCTCCTACCCAAGTCACCACCTGGGCTCATGTGAGTCCTGCTAAGTAGCAGGCAAATTTTATAGAAGAATAAATTTCTTGGTTTCCCAGCCTGCAGTTTAAAAATCAGCATTTTTTCATGTATAATTGATTGGTGGGGGGCAGGAAAGAACTAGGCTAAATTTTCAAATTGAAAAAAAATGCATGTAATGTACCTGAGATAGACTCAATAATATATTCCTTAAAAATTTTTTTTTGTTCTACTTAGTTGTACATGACAGCAGAATGCATTTCAATTCATCATACACAAATGGAGTGCACCATTTCAATTCTCTGGTTGTACACGGTGTAGAGACGCACCATTCATGCAATCATACATGTTCCTAGGGTAATGACGTCCATCTCATTGCACCATCTTTCCTATCCTCATGACCCCTCCCGACTCTCTCCTTTGCCCAATCCAAAGTTCCCCAATTCTTCCCATGCCCCCCACCCCCATTATAGATCAGCATCCACTAATCTGAGAAAACATTCGACCTTTAGTTTTTTGGGATTGACTTACTTCACTCAGCATAATATCCTCCAATTCTGTCCATTTACCTGCAAATGCCATGATTTTATTCTTTTAATGCTGAATAATATTCCATTATGTATATATACCACAAATTCTTTATCCATTCGTCTACTGATGGGTATCTAGGTTGGTTTCACAGTTTAGCTATTCTGAATTCAGCTGCTATAAACATTGGTGTGGCTATGTCACTATAGTGTGCTGATTAAAATCAGCATACTATAGCCCTTTGGATATAGACCAAGGAGCAGGATAGCTGGGTCAAATGGTGGTTCCATTCCAAGTTTTCTGAGGACTTCCCACACTTTCCACTTTTCCACTTTGCTTTCCAAAGTGGTTGGACCAATTTGCAGTCCCATGTATGAGTGTATCTTTTTCCCTACATCCTCTCCAACACTTATTATTGCTTGTGTGTGTATGTATGTATATATATAAAAAATATATATATATATAATATATAATATATATATATATATATATATATTCTTTATTTTGTTTGTTTATTTTTATGTGGTGCTGAGGATCGAACCCAGTGCCTCACACATTTGAGGCAAGCGCTCTGCCACTGAGCCCCAGCCCCAGCCCTATTGAAGCCCTAGCTTGTATTCTTGATAACTGCCATTCTGACTGGGGTGAGACGAACTCTTTGAGTAGTTTTGATTTGCATTTCTCTAATTACTAAAGATGTTGAACACTTCTTCATACATTTGTTGATCACTTGTGTATCTTCTTGTGAGAGTGTCTGTTCATTTCCTTAGCCCATTTATTGATTGGGTTGTTTATTTTTTTGGTGTTAAGTTTTTTGAGTTATTATATATATATATATATATATATATATATCCTGGAGATCAGTGCTCTATCTGATGTGTGTGTGGTAAAAATTTGCTCCCATACTGTAGGTTCTCTCTTCACCTCAATTATTGTCTCTTTTGCTGAGAAGAAGCTTTTTAGTTCGAATCCATCCCATTTATTAATTCTTGATTTTATTTCTTGTGCTTTCGGACTCTTGTTAAGGTCAGGGCCTAATCTGATAAATAAAGACTTGAGCCTACTTTTTCCTCTATTGGGCGCAGGGTCTCTGGTCTAATTCCTAGGTCCTTGATTCACTTTGAATTGAGTTTTGTACATGATGAGAGATACAGGTTTAATTTGATTTTGCTACATTTGGATTTCCAGTTTTCCCAGCACCATTTGTCAAAGAGGCTGTCTTTTCTCCAACGTATGTTTTTGGCACCTTTGTCTAGTATGAGATAACTGTATTTATGTGGGTAGGTCTCTGTGTCTTTTATTCTGTACCATTGGTCTACATATCTTATTTTGGTGCCATATCATGCTGTTTTTGTTACTATTGCTCTGTAGTATAGTTTAAGGCCTGGTGTTGTGATGCCTCCTGCTTCACTTTTCTTGCTAAGGATTGCTTTAGCTATTCTGGGTCTCTTATTTTTCCAGATGAATTTTAAGATTGTTTTTTTGAGTTCTGTGAAGACTGACATCAGGATTTTAATAGGAATTGCATTAAGTCTGTATAACAGATTTGGTAGTATGGCCATTTTTGACAATATTAACTCTGCCTGTCCAAGAGCATGGGAAATCTTTCCATCTTCTAAGATCTTCTGCAATTTCTTTCTTTGGTGTCCTGTAGTTTTCATAGTAAAGGTCTTTTACCCCTTTTGTTAGACTGATTCCCAAGTATTTTATATTTTTTGAGGATATTTTTAATGGGGTAGTATTCCATGAAAAATCGTCTTTGCAGTGGATTCATCACTTATGTATAGAAATGCATTTATCAGTATTGATTTTATATCCTGCTACATTGCTAAATTCATTTATTAGTTCTAGGACTTGTTTGGTGGAATTTTTTGGATATTTAAATATAGAATCATGTCATAGGCAAATAATGATAGTTTGAGTTTTTCTTTTCCTATGCGTATCCCTTTAACTTCTTTTGTCTGGTTGCACTGGCTAGAACTTCAAGGACACTGTTGAATAGAAGTGGTGAAGAAGAGCATCCCTGTCTTATTCCAGTTTTTAGAGGGAATGCTTCCAATTTTTCTCTATTTAGAATGATGTTGGCCTTGAGCTTTACATAGACAGCTTTTACAATGTTGAGGTATGATCTTTCTATTCCTAGTTTTTCTAGTGTTTTGAACATGAAGAAGTGTATATTTTATTGATTGCTTTTTTCAGCATCTATTGAGATAATCATGATTCTTTTCTTTAAGTCTATTGATATGACGTATTACATTGATTGATTTCTGTATGTTGAACTAAACTTGCATCCCTGGGATGAACACCACTTGATTGTGTTGAACTATCTTTTTAATGTTTTTGTATGCAATTGGCCAGGATTTTATTGAGAATTTTTGTGTCTATGTTTATCAGGGATATTAGTCTGAAGTTTTCTTTCCTTGATGTGTCTTTGTTTGGTTTGGGTATTAGGGTGATAGAATGAGTTTGGAAGGTTTCCCTCCTTTTCTATTTCATGGAATAGTTTGAGGAGTATTGGTATTAGTTCTCCTTGGAAGGTCTTGTAGAATTCTGCTGAGAATCTGTCTGGTCCTGGGCTCTTCTTGATTGGTAGGCTTTTGATGGCGTCTTCTATTTCCTTGCTTGAAATTGCTCTGTTTAAATTTGTATGTCCTCCTGATTCAGTTGGGGTAGATCATATGTTTCTAGAAATTTGTTGATGTCATTGAGATTTTCTCTTTTTTTAATTGGAGTATAATTTTTCAAAAATAATTTCTAACTATCTGTATTTAATAGTGTCTGTTGTTCATCAATAGTTCAATAGTGCCTTTCTCATCATGAATTTTAGTAACTTGAGTATTCTCTCTCCTTCCCTTTGTTAGCATGGCTAAGGGTTTATCAATTTTATTTACTTTTTGAAAGAACCAACTTTTTGTCAATTTTTAAATTATTTCTTTTGTTTCAATTTCATTGATTTCAGCTCTGATTTTAATTATGTCCTGTCTTCTACTGCTTTTGGTATTGATTTGTTCTTCTTCTTCTAGGG